TTACACGACACCCACAGGAATTGTTTATTGTAAACATTTCCCACAGACTAAACCCAACAGGTACCAGCAAGCAGTCCTGCTCCCCTGCATTTTCTGCTGTAACATGACAACAAAGGAGCATGCTCAAGAACCACTATATGGAATGAGGTTCAATGTTACCTTGTGGACATTCTATGTTTGCAGTTGAAGATTCATGCCAAATATACTTCTCAGCTCTGAGTATCTGCCAAGTGGATTCTTACAAATGGGAAAACAAAGAGCACTAGCAGAATTTTTCTCAGCATATGGGATGAAACCAATCTCTGTTACTATAAATTACAAAGCAAGACCAGAGCTAATATCAAGGATTTTTTTTTAATAGTCACCTCTTCTTGCAGTTTCTAAAAAGCACTCTCAAACCTTTAAAGTTTTTGAATCTAAATTCCTGGTTACAACTGCTAAAATATGAGGGATTTTTTTTCTGGTATCCACCAGTTCTCAGAGGCACTACCTTCTGTAGTGACATTTATAGATGCCAGTCCACAATCTGTCCTATGCAGACAAACACCCACACCTGGAGTCCTCAGTGGACCCACATGCCTGGCAAGTCAGAGAGTCAGAAATGCAGCAACAAACAGCAGTAACAAAAGCACAATACATGCTGCAACACGTACAGTGGAGCTGTAAGTCACTACAAAACACCAGCCTCCACTGTGTGTGTAAAAAAAGTTCTGAAAGAGGCACAAATTTGAGATGAAATGTGATGATTGCAATCCTAATAGAATTCAGTATTTTAACTCTGTACTGTACAAGGTCTAGCAACCTTATTTCAACATTGTTTTTAAACAAAGATATCTAATCCAAAAAATAGTATCCATAACTTTGTCTTCTAGAAAGGTACAGTGAAAATTTGTTTTTTCTTTTCTTTTGAAGACATAAACCATCTAAAAGGATTATTAAGTAAAAATATGGGAACTAGTAACCATTCCAGTTTTTCCTTTAGGATACTAAAATTTCTAGTTGGGTTTGGTTCTGAAAGCTTCTAAACAAATTATGTAAATTACCTATCCTAAGTACTTGGTTCACAACAACAAAAGGAGTTAATGATTATATTACTTTTAGTCTACTAAAGTTATGCTAATGAAAACACTAATCAAAGATTGCAGTCACATTTTCAGTCCTTGCCTGTTGTAGGTGGATTGCATGGAGCAATAAGATTTATAGCTTTATCATGACACAACATATATAAGGCTGAACTCACTCAGTTGCTAATGAAATGTGATCTGGGGACTCTTGCACCAGCTGGGTGATGATTAGGGCTTATCACAGATAGGTCTAGGAAAAGGCTGGGAAATACTTAAGCTTGTTTTGCAGTTGCTTTGAGCTCTTAGGAAAGGAGCAATTTCTCTACAACATCAGCCTGAAGTTTTCTGCCCAAACAAGAGAGGTAATGATAATGTTTTTAACTGATTTGCAAGTGGTAGGATTATATGAAGTCTGGCAAAGTCCTATCAAATCTTTCTGGTTTAGTGCCTTTTAAATTGTGAGATGGGTACTTTGTCTTCTCAGACAGCTCAAAAAAAATGTTAATTAAGCAACTGACTTCAGAGAAACCTTGCAAAACTTGCTCTATATGATGCCTCTTGACTTGAAATTCTGCTTTTAATAGTGGCCTGCTGGCACAACAAGCAACTCTGCATAAGTTTCCCACAGCAAAAAGAGCATCCTAAATGTAGTTTCTGATTATGGGAATGGCTCCATAGAAACTATAAGCAACTGGGTCACTCAAACATCTAAGTTATTGAATATTTTTTAAAATAAATGTTTTAAGAAGATAGCTCCTACCCTCATAAAAATAAATACTTTAAAAGCAGAGGAAGTTCAAAGTTAAACTCTGACTTCTAGAATATCTTGTCTATACATGATATCAGCTAGGGGAAAAAAGGCAGGAAAGAATCTACATGAGTAGTAGAATACCTGTCTCCTTAACACAGACTGTAGCTCAGCTGCAGAGCAGAATTCTGTTTAAAGCCATTCTGACTTCAGAGGGCTACACACTTCCTACTTCTTTCCTTGGTAAGGGTGGTCTCCAGCTCCTCTCAAAAGAGAACTGCTGCCTCTGAACTGAAAACTACATAATAACTTTTTAAAATAAGTAGTTTTCACGAACTGTGAGATTTCAAATTGGGTGATTAAATGAGAGGTTTTTCAGAGTGGATTGGAAAAGTAAAACATCAAATATAGCAGAGCACAGTAGAAAAAGCTTCTCCCTGTTTTAAGTAATTTTTGTTATAAAATACACCCAAATTTGATTATTTTGTAGCCTAAAGGAAAATTTCTTGAGGGGGTTGGTTTTTTTCCATGAATGTTTCTTATTCAGGTCAAATTCAGTCATTTTTGTCAAAGAAAGCCATTTCCTTTTCTATTGAACCAAAGGCTTGCATATTTAAAATTCCCCTGCAAATGGACAGTGGGTTCTATGGATTTGTTTTTGAAAAAAGCTGCTCACTTGTATCCCAGAAAGTGTTCATGATATTGAAAGTATGTGTTTAGGTATGGCAGGGGGCAAGGTTAGGCTCTGTTGTATGAGTGTGGTGGGGTTTTCTGGAGATGGTGGAGTTTCTGTGTGTTTGGTTGGTTTTTTGTTTTTTTTTTTCTCATGGCTATTTTACACAGTTGTAAGACTGTACCTGACAAGCTTTCAACATCAAAGTGCTCAGAAACACTTCAGAGTAGTGCTTGTTTTAGAGATGCAAGTACACAGAGCCAGTCTGAGCTAAGGAGTCACCCAGAGAATTGCTAGGTCAGCAAAACTCCTGCTTACAGTTCAGGTCCTACTTCTTCCCTAGTGATGTTACCTTCTTATCACACTCCCTTTGAAATCACTTCATTCTGTATTTGACTTAGGGTAAGAAAAAAGAGTTAGGAGAGCTGTACCTAATACAAGTCCTTTAAGTGCCAGCATTCTGCTGACATACTAGCCAAGAACTAGTTGAAGAAACAGTTTTGTTCTTTTTGTTTAATACTGCCACTATCCAACTGGAAGTCATATGACACAAACCCACATAGAGCTGTATCCCAGACCAATGCATGTGAGCAGTAACGCTCCCAATACAGATGCTGGGGCTGCCCTTGGTGCTCCTCAGCAGGGCTGGGCTGGGCTGGGTTAAAGAATTCCATGACTGCTTTCCTTTGGGCCTCTACTGGAGGCTACAGTGCCTCCATTCTGTGGATTCTGCCCAGTGTGGAAGGACAGGGCTCAGTGCTCTCCAGAGCACTTCCCTGAGGAAACTCAAAGCCATGCTACTCTTCTCTGGAACTGGCTGAGGACACTGTCTATCCTTTCCTTACTGCTAACTATAAAGCACTGCACAGAAAAAAAGTTCAAAATTAGGCCAGAAAGAGGAAGAAACAGAAGCATAAGTTATCATATTTTTCTGTGGATTAAATAGGTTAAGTCCCTTTTGAAGATGAGGGCAAAGGAGAAGTGAAAGAGTAACACAAAAGTAATAATAACAACAAAAAGAACAACTTTTTAAAGTGCTTATTCATGAAGGCTTTTGTCAAAAAGCACAGAAAAGCTGCTCTTAGTCTGAGAGAGATTGTCAAGGAACAAACTGATGTTGCCAAAGCTTCACTCCTTACTGCTGTTAACTTTAACTCTCTTGGAACAGAAGAATTTAGGTTAGGGGGAGGATCTGGAGGCCATCTGGGCCCTTTCTCATGGCAAAATTACTCTCAAAGACAAATCAGTCTGCTTTGGCTCTTATCCTGTTGGAGTACAGAGACTCAATGTCTTTCCTGGACAGCCCATTCCAGTGTTCCCTCACTTTTCCTGCAGGAAATTTAGATCAATGTGGTGCTATCACCTTCAGCCTTTCCAGACTCAGACCAGCAGGTTTCCATTGTCTTTGTTTTCCATAAGGTGCACCCTGTGAAGTGCAAATCTAATTACAGCCCAAGTACTAGGCTAGTGCAAGTGGTTCTGTTTGTTTAACTAGGATTCCTGATAAAGGTTCCCTGGAAGCTCTGATAGCAATATGCAGTTACCTGGGCTGGAGCTTTACCACCCTCTGCAGTGGGTGCCAGGGCTGGATGTAATGTGCCATAACGTGCCATCCTCTACCCTTCCAGATCCTGACCCAGTGGCTACAGCTGCACTCTGGCTGAGCATTGCATGGCTCCCAGCAAAACCACCCAGCTAGAGGCAGCAGTGTCAAATACTACTGTAGGATTTTAACATGCCTCAGAGAAGCGAATTGGCATTTGGCTTTGTTGAAACACATCTTAATTTTTTTCTTCTCCCTCCTTACAAATAAGAAACCATTACGACATTAAAATTAGTTACATTCTCCTTAATGAGATTAGGAATATGGCCAGAAGTCCTACTTCTAGATGAGAAGAGCACTAAGGGATAAAATGTGCTATCCTGACTACCCTGTGCTGAGGGCCAGATAACTTGGAGCATCCTGTGCCCCAGCTTTGCAAAATCTTTGCAAAAGAAAAAATATTACAAGGAGCATGTGAACAGGTGCTCAAATACTTGCTGTAGCTTTGCCACTAAGGCAGAAACAGTTTCAACTAAGATTTCTTATCCGGAGCTTTATTTTTGAAGGCTTTACTTTTACTTCTGCTCTTACCTGGCTGGCTGTGAATGCAAACAGGCAGACCTAGACATGCAAGTTAAATGTGCTGTCTTCTGGGAGGATTATGAACTTTCTGTAACACATTTTTCTAGATATCTTCTTTTTACACATTTTTTACACAAGGGGACATAAATATTTCAGCGGTAAGCGTTGTATTTTAAGATTAGATAATTTCTGATACCTATTAATATCTTCCCTATCCCCAATGCAGTTTAAGGATTTTACATTCCTCTATTCGGTGAAGACTTGCCAAAGTGCAGCACAGCAAATGACATGTTTTACACCAGCCTGTGAGGGCTACGAAGGGTTTGCTGCAGCTCACCTCCCTTCTCTTTGTTGTACAGCACTTCTCCACTGGCAGTGGCTCAGCTCCTGATGGAGGAGCACAGCGTTCCCAGCGAGGTGCCGGCAGCCCTGAAGCGCCTGGCCAAGTGCATAGGGCGTGGTTTCTATGGTGTGGAGTGCTCCCTGGCCCTGGACGTGCTGATCCGCTACCCCTGTGTGAAAGAGGAGGACCTGTTACAGCTGCTCAAGTACGAGCGCAAGCAGCTGCGCAGCGCCCTCAACGCGCTCAGGGCGGACAAGCTGCTGAAGCTGCGGGTGCGAGTTGAAACAGGGCCCAACGGCAAGAGCACCAGGCACAATTACTACTACATCAATTACAAGGTGCTGGTGGATGTGGTAAAATACAAACTGGATCATGTACGCCGGAAAATAGAAGCAGAAGAGCGGGATTCAACTACCAGATCCTCTTTTAAATGTCCATCTTGCTCTAGCACGTACACAGACCTTGAAGTCAATCAGCTCTTTGATGCATTTACAGGTGTGTTACTTATATTGCTTATTTGCTGTTATCTTAAAGAATAACCCTGATAGCACAAAACTGTTTCCTAAGTGAACTTTGCAATAAAAGCACGTTTGTTAGAATGTGCTTCTTGTTTGCTAGTGGACAAGGGCCTGAAACAGGGGATGCTGGGAGGTGAGGAAAAGAGAAATGCTGCCTCTGTAGAAAATGCCAAAAAAAAGGAAGATTAATCTTGAATATACGAGCTGGGGTTGAGAATCAGATTCCAGGCCTCAGCTTTGCTTTGAACCTGGTTGAGTAATCTTAACTAATCCATGTCTTGTGAGTCTCACTTCCTCATATGGAAATATGAACACAGCAGTCTTTACTCTGCTTTGAATCTCTTAGTTAATCCATTTGTGTGGTCAGTCCTTCTGACTGACGAGTTGGACAAGATGGGTAAAACCATTTGCAGTCACCTACTGTAATAAGCTTCTTGCAGCTCAGTGGCACCAGAGCAGAGTTGCTCTCCTGGGCTGGAAAGTTCAGGCTCCTCATAGGTCAACATGACACATCCACCCACAGCAGAACTGGTGTCAGAGCTTGTGGATTTTTCTTCTCTAAAATCAAAATAACTAAATAGTGTGTTAGTTCAAAATTAGTCAATATGGCATCATGTGCAATACATTATTCAGAGCACAGTACTGTGCTGACATCTGGGTCATGAGATCTGCAAAGGATGCCAGAGCCAGGCAGAATGAGTCTTATATATGACTAACCTGAAATGCCAACAGTGAAATTTGTGTCCTGCCACTTAGCAAAATCATCCCTTTTTTCTAAATTGAGGGGCTCTGTCAAGTTACTGAAATGCAAATATTGAAGCTGGTGATATAGTTTCACAAAATAAGCTTGAAGTTTTGTTTGTTTTCCTGAAGACATAAATATTGGTTTTAGCATATGCCTTGACTATGACACAACTAAAACCAGATACTACTTATGCTTGAAAATGTCTTCTGTTACATTAAGAACTGAGAAGATGAGACTAGAGAAGAAAAAAAATAAACTGATGATAGTATATGTCTATCCATCTTAAATTTCTCTCCCAAGACATTTCTCACTTGCATAACAAGTGTATAATACCAGTCTGTCTCAACTTTGCCTGTAGAATCACATTCCCCTAGTTAACGTCAACAAATGGACATCTATGCAGACATTCTGGCTTTATCCAGGCTGCAGGCTGCTTAACAACATCCTGCTGATCTTTTTGCATTCTATGAACATGAGAATTCCCACTTTGGAAAATGTTGCAGAGACTTTTCGCTGCACTTACTGCAACACTGAGGTAGAGGAAGATGGCTCGGCGTTTCCGAAGCACGATGCTCGAACGTTGCTGGCGAAGTTCAACGAGCAGATCGAGCCTCTCTTTGTGCTGCTGCGTCAGACCGAAGAGATTGTGCTGCCCTATGACTTGCTGGAGCCTCAGCCAACAGAAATACCAGAATTATCAGAAAGGTATGAACACCACCCTAGAACTTCTGATCAATGCAAATCCCCCCAACAACTTACCACTTGTAAAATCTTTGAAATACTGAACTTGCAGCCTATGTACTCCATTCTGCTTTGTTCAGTACAGTCAGCTGTTTAATGAAGAAATCTGTAATATTTAAGGCATCCTAAATTATTGCTATACCTTTTTAAATTTTTAATGCATTTTTAAAGTCATTTATTCACCAGATTACTCCTTCAGCTAATGTTCATAGCCCTTCCTATAAGAAAGTAATATTTCTCTATCAGTGTGCTTCATCCAGAGATGCACTACTGAAGAGAGACCTTGCAAAAATCAATGGTTCAGAACCACTTACCTCTGAGAGGTAAAAGGGAATGTAAATTATTAGAGCACTTGTTAAAGCTAGTCTGCCAACAAAACACAGTTTTGGGGGTTGCTTGTTTGTGATTGTTGTTCTGGTTTTTTTAAACGGGAACTGGGGTGGGGGGAGGAGGTTCTTGCCTGAATTCTACCTCTTCAAAATTCTACCTCTTCAAAATTCAGCTTTGATCCAAAGCTGGGCTCAAGTGTGCTGGAATCCTGCAGCCGCCCTGAAAAATGGGCACACAGAAGTTCTGCTTTTGGCCTTGCATACACCCAAAATTTAACTATTGATGTCCAAGACTCAAAGCAAGAGAAGAAAAGAAGAGAAAAGGCAACTGAAAAGCAACCTATCTGGTTGTCACAGAGCACTGTGGAAGGAGCAGCAACAGCCACCAACAATAGTGTTGGTAAGTTTAGTGAATTCACCAATTAATTCTGCAGCCTTAGTGTAAATACAGCTTTCCCACTGAAAATGTAGTGAGCTTGGTTTAGAAGATACTGTTTCAATTCTGTGTTAGTGGTTATCAGACCTTAGTTTCCAAAATCTAGTTTTAAGACTGACTGACATTATATTCCTAAAGCAAGAGATCAGGTGTGTCCTAAAACTTCTGGCTTTAGCCCTGCAGTAATTAAGTGGTAATTTTTACAGTGGAAAGCTCTCAGAAATGTCTGTTATTTTCAAGAGAATTCTAGTGTGGGTAAAAAAGATCCAGAGTAGAAAAAATAATCTATGTAGGATGCCTATGTGGTAACTGTAAACGCTTGATCCCTCTAACACTAAGTCTTGTATATTAGGAGTAAATGCTTCTGAAGAAACTGAAGAAAATGTTAAAGAAACTGTCACTGATAATGAAATCATCAAGACTCTTCTGATCCATGAATCCAAGTCATCATCTAGCACAGACCAGGCTCCTATTGTCAAAAGCAAACTACATGGATCACACAGTGATAGCAGTGAGTTTGAAGAGGATGCCAAGCACTCAAGAGGAGCAGGAATGAAAGTAGCAGGCAGCAACTTTGAACAAGAGGAGGAACAGGAAACTCTGGATCCAATTTTAATGGTAGCTGGCCAGCCCTGCTCATATGGCCAAGTTAGTGAAAACCCAGAGCTTGTGTCTCTCATGACAAATGAAGAGAGAGACACTTATATAAAAGTAGGACAAGAAATGTTCCAGTCTGTCTTTGAGTAACTACTACTGTAAGAATATCCAACCTTGTACAGAATGCATGAAGGCTTCTGACTTATGTTCTTCAAAGTTTACCACTGAAGGGTTTTGTTTGAACTTGCTCTTAAGCAAGATGGTAATCCTGTAGTAGGTAACTACAGTTCAAATATTATCATTGCAGCCACAGCAAGTGTTGTTTGTTGTTGTAATGCTTGGACTTTGTGGATGATGTAATTAGTTTTGGAGCATGAATCATTTCAGGATACATTTGGATCTGATTAAAATAACATTTGAAAAGTAGTGATGCAATCTATAATAAGAAATAAATTATTCCACCTCTCTCCCAGAAGTAACAGTTACTTCCAGTAGTGAAAATGAGTCCAAATCCAGTATGAGTTGGTTTCCTTCCATATGTGTGTTCCACTGGTTTGTTAGGTCACTCACAGTACAAGTGTGAAGGACAGGTGTCACACAGCAACATCCTTGCAAGGGAAGAGCTGTTACTAAATTGCATTAGCAATAGATGAGAAGCAACTCTGCCATCTGAACTTTCATCCTAAGAATAATTTTTCCAATTCTTTTTACTCAGGGCACTACAGAAGTGTCTTGAATGGTGAACTGTGCAAGGGGCACTGGACAGTAAAATATAGTTTCACTTTGGTCCAGATCAGTAAGGGAGAAGGAACATACCAAGCACAAGACTCTGCTTCTCCCATCTCACTCCCATACTCCCCAGTGTTCTTTTTAAGCAAGAAACAAATTCTGCTTGAAATTAACTACAAAAGTAGAGCTGGGCATTAGGCATAAGTGAGAGTTCAACTTAATCAGGAGTCCTACTACTTGAGCAAGGGCTAATGAAAGTAGACTAGAAGGGCACAAAGTAAAACACAGGAAGTTCTCTCTGAATGTTAGGAAACACTTAACTGTAAGGATGACAAACACTGGCACAGGTTTCCCAGAGAGGTGGTAGTCTCCCAGAAGGAAGATACTCAAAAGCCACCTGGGCAAACAGCTCTGAGTGGCCCTGCTGGCCTTGAGAGGTCCCTGCTGACCATTCCATGATGAAACAGTAGAGAGTAGGTATGACCAAAGAAATACCATTTCAATGCATTTTTCATGTATCCATACTGTTGGTTCTGACAGGTAATTTTCTGTTCAGTAGCTGGTGTGGGGCTGTTTTGAATCTGTGGAAAGTGTTGATTCTCAGAGCTGTTTTCCTTATTGCTGAGCAGCACTTGCACAGAGTCCAGACTGCTTATCACCCTGTGCCCACAGCAAGGAGGCTGGGGATGCACATTTAGGAGGGGACTCCACCAGGACAGCTTCCCCATGTTGACCAAAGAGCTATCCCACACCACAGGGCATCATGAGCATATAGAGCCCAAAGAAGAAGGAACAGGGGACAGTCGGAGTAATGGCATTTGTCTTCCCACGTCCTTGTCATGCATCACAGAGCCCTGTTTTCCTCGAAGTGGCTTAACACCTGCTTGCCATTTTGCTTTGTTTGCATGTGTAGCTTTTGCTTTACCTATTAATCCTTCTTTCAACTATGAATTTGTTTTCAGTCTTCTACTTCTCTCTCTGAGCCCACTGGTTGGAGAGTGAGCAACCAGCTGCCTGGTGCTCAGTTGCTGGCTGGGGTTAAATCTATCGTTCCAGCAAAAGAATTCAGGAATGGAGGGTGCTTAGGTTCTTTCTTAAGCTTAGAATTTAATGATTCAATGTATAAACTAGCCTTATTTCAAAGCTGCACACAATCTCACTCTACTTTATAGCAAATGTCCTCTTTTAGATCTGAGTGATTCTTGTGCTTAATTAGTAATTAGAAGTTTGTTTGTTTCAGTGTCACAGCTTTGCCTTTGTCACAACATATTTTCTTGGTCCTTAAAATGGTAACTTTTTTCTGCCCACAGTAGTACGACCAGTGTAAAGCCTGCAGAGTAACTAAACTTCATAAAACATTTTGCTAATCTACCTTCATTCTTGCACATGAGAGGCATGTGACCATAATCTGCCAATTCAAAATTTGTTCATAAAACCTAGAGACACTCCAAACAAACTAGAAAAAAAATCACAGAAGAATTACAATCTCATTTTATTTAAACTTCAAGCATATTTAGGCTTCACCATCACTATACTGTCTCCCACAGTATATAGCCATATTATCATACTAACCTCAAAAGCAACGCAATCCTGAATTAAAGATAACCAGTGCTTTTTAACTACTTTCATAAAAGCCTTGTGTTTAAGGTAAACAGAATCTTTATAATGGAGCAGATGTGTTGAATAAGCTTCTTCTAGCTCAGTTTTATGACTTAAATGCTATTAGCAATTCTGACCTGAAAAACTGAACAGAGTTTTCCAATCTACTTTTCTGTAGTTCTACTTTACCTTGAGATTCCAGGAGGTGCTGACTTCAACTGCACTTTAAAACAATGACTTTGTAATGAAATTTAGGAAACTACAATTAAAGTCAAACACTTTAGAACAGATTCTCCAGACCTTCAATTGCAGCAATTTTAAGTTAGCCATGAAAAGATATTAACATTTTCAGACAGGTTTAATCCTGTGAACATCAAAAGGATTCAGCAAATGCAGAAAAATACAGCTGGTTTCTGCAATAAAATATAAACCTGGGGTATTCATCTCAGATAAATGTGCTGATAGAAAGGAATTCCACAAGCCATGAACAGGAACTTTTTTGTTACAGACAAGCTATACTCTAGGCTATAAAGACAACACATAGGTATGTACTGTGTCTATACCTTGTGTTTTGAGAAGGTGGAAGAAACTTGGAGAATTTGTTGTCCCAGGAAAATGAGCAGTGTTTCTTGTAAGAGAAGAGCAAACTGCTACAAGCATGCCAACAAGCCAATTAACTTCCGGCAACAAACTCAGCATACCAGTTTGTAAGCCAAAGAAAATTTTTCAAAAGAGAAAACTTACAGACAAGTCCAAACTTTATTTAAAACTACCATTGTGAACAATTTTAAAATTACCAAACAAGTCACAATAAAAATAAAAAATTAAGACAGAAAAAGAACAGTGCAGCAAAACTGAATAGAAGTGGATTCAGTTCCAGCCATTTAAACTGCCACAGGCAGAAGATCACATACCTATCCTAAGAGGCAGTGTGTTAAAAATTTTACATTTTTATACACTTCCAGAATTCTGGGAAATTAGTACTGATCTTTATGCATTTGTATACATAGAGTTTATTAATGCAGACATCTTCGGGTAATTCTTATGCAATTTGAGCTCCAAAAGTTTCTGTAAAATAAGAATAAAATCATTGTCTAATATCTACAAGGTATCAAACAGCTCATTACCACATTTCAACTGCTATTTCATCCTCACAAGCATTTTGAGCCACGGCTTACTTGAACAGCTACAGCCATCCCCACCATGCAGAGCATAAGAATGGCTTAGAGCTAGCTACAACTTAGGTGTGGCATGGCATTCGTGGTCAGACTGTTCCCACAGCAGCCCTGCGCATCAGCATCCACCAAATGGGCACAACAGGCTTGTGCTGCCAGAGTTGTGACAAGCAGAACACTGAACAAGCAGTGACCAAAACAGAAGGAAAGATGCACCTTTTCTCACACTTCATTCTGGGAAAAAACCTGTGCTACGACTGCATATGCATTAAATGAAAAGCAGGTTCATCAGCTTATACTATTTGAGGAATTGGAAGGAAGCACACTAGCAGAAAACTGCTACTATCAGAATACGCAGTTCATGCCCTTTATATATGCCATGACTGTACACTCCACTGGAGAATCACAAGTCTAACAATAAACCAGAAGTCTTGAATAGTGTAATTTTGTCACAATATTATAGAAAAACCCCAATTTACTTCAAAATGTTGAAGTAAAACATCAGTTATTTGTACCCTTACACACTTAAGTGGAAGCAATTTATCCCATGAGAGTATGTGACTTAATTTCTGACTGAAAAAAGTTTTTAAAAAGCCCACAAAAACCATTTTCTCTGACTTGCATTATCAATGTATCTGCATAAATAATATTTCATGAAAGTGAAAAATTTTATTGCTATCATACATACTGGAACTTTTTTCTACCACATGGTATACTTCACATGAAAAATACTGTCTTTCTCCCTGAGATGTTTTACTGTTCTGAAAAGTCTCTTGAATGTTCACAAAAGTATAAGTGTCAGGAACTTATACTGAGTGTTATTAAATCAGATAAGAGCAATTATAATTTACAGTGTTATTAAACCCAAGCTTGTGAAACAAGAAACAAAAATACCGCTCCATTTGAATAAGTTTCAAAACCATTATGTTGTGACATCCACTTTAAATATATTAACTTTTATGACTTTATCAGCCACAGAATCTAAAAAAGTATATAGAAGGGAGATGGACAGCAAGATAAAATCCCTTCATATCAATGCAACACTTTCAAATGCATAACAAAACCCAATGTTTTTACTGCACTACTGTAACTGCTTACTTCAATCAGCGATATTTAAATTCTAGCACTCCAGAGTGTTTCCCAATATGTTTACAGAATACAGAAAAAAATTACCAGGTTCTTTCAATGTTTGGGCATCTCCGACTAATTCTTGATCTTGAGTTCCACCTCCATCCAGTAATTCATCAGACAAACTCTTGGTTTGGGCCTCTGTTTCCATTTTCTTCATTATATCTGCCTTTGTAACAGAAAAAGCAAATCTGAAAATTCTGGATAATTCTTGCTGCTGTCTGGGTAACACAGACATTTACAATTACATATGCACTTCTAAAAAACAATTGCACAAATACTAGCAAAATACCTCTGAATACACAGCAAGTTTGAGGGGCAAGTCTTCAACTTTCACAAAGTCATCTTCATCAGATTTTTGACTTACATTTCCAGAACCAGGTTCCTGTTAATAAAAATTGTGGTATTTAGGAAGTGCTACTTTGTTTTCTTTTCACTCTAAAACTATTAAAGTATACTAAAATCAAATTTGCAGATGGAAACAAAACAAGACTGCAAACCAGAAATAACACTGAAATA